CGCCCCAGGTGCCCACCTGGGACTGAGCCCTGTGGCCGGTGCTTTCCTCGGGGCGGGGCCAGTCCCGTGTTGCCCGCTGCCGCCCTGTCCCCGGCCACCTGCAGCTCTGACCACAGGTGTTTGTGGCCAAGGGACTGGGCGGGGCCTGTTTCCTGAGCCCCAGTGACCCCAGGACCAGCCCCTGAGAGGCCCTGACCGTGGGCACAAACTGTGGGTGAGGAGAGGGCGTGTGCCGTCCACTCAGCTTATTGCCGGACACGAAGGCTGCTGCTGGTCAGCCACACTCTAATGCACACCTGCACACGGGCCGCCTGCGGGGGTCAGGCGCCCCCCGGGGCACCCGCACTCAGGCGGGCACGGGTCTCTGGGGCCGGACCCCTGTGTCCGAGGCCAGATCGTGAGCCAGAGCCCGCGGCAGGGTGGGCAACCCCTGGCTCGGCGACCTGACACACCCCGGTAGGCGCTGGCGGCCGCAGCACCCCAAGCCGCGGGACCCTCGGCCAGGCCTGCACTGTGAGGGGCGCAGGAGGCTGGCGGAGGCCCACGGGGCCCCCCTACCCCCCGGGCCTGTTTGCTCAGTGCAAGATGGGGCTGAGGCTGCTCCCCAGCTCTGGCCCCAGCCTGGGCTCAGCCAGCCAGGACCTCTGGCCAGACTGACTGGTCTCTGCAGGGTGGCCACAGGCCGCTGCGGGGCGCCAGCGGGATGCAGAGCAGAGCCCAGGGAAGGGCACAGCAGAGCCCTGGCCAGCCCAGGGGGCAGCGAGTCGGCAGGCGGCTGTGGGCTGAGCTTGTCCAGGCTGGGCCATCTCCTCGGGGCACGAGGCTGGTCAAGGCGGCCACACGGGCTTCAGGTGTGCACACTGGACGCAGGACTGGAGGCAGTGAAGGAGCGGTCACGCGGCCCCAGGGCAGCACTGGAGGACAGCAGGACAGAGGCCACATCCGGTTTCGGGGGGCCCAGCTTGGGGGAGCAGAAGCAGGCGGCAGATAGGCTTGCTGGCCGCCTGGCAGGCGGTGGCCCAGAGGGTCAGCAGAAGCCCTAGAAGGGGCAGAGGTGGCTGGCTGGGCGCCCCCTTCTGGCCCGCGGCCCGGTCCCCGCTGAGACTGGCCAGGGCGGCCCTTCGCGGGGGCCTGGGGGGCCGTGGGCGGCCGGGCGCAGGCTCCCGGCGGGCAGTGCAGCCTGGCAGGCCCGCGACGCTTGTCCTGTGGGGTTTTGGGGCAGCCGGGGCGGATCTGCCCCGGGGAGGAGCCGTGTGGGAGCGGAGGCCGCTGGTGGACACGTGTGGTTGTCGCGCTGTCCCAACACTGAGCCCCTGGACAGGAGGGGCTCAGGCCGCTCCTGGCCCTGGGCTCCCCCAGCGCTCTGGCCGTGCCCTCTGCCCCTCCTGCCCCTCCATGGGCGGCTGGTGGCCGGCCAGGGCCCCAGGCCCAGGGAGGGGCCGTGGGAGCGGAAGGCCAGCTCGGCCACGTCCAGGGCGCACAATGACCCTATTCACAGCTGGGCGGGAAGTGGCCACGGGCACCGCGGAGCTATTTTTACGAGAGCGGAGGCCAGGACGGGTCTGGTGCGGGTCGGGACCCTCGTGGCTGCCCGCGCCGGCTCTCCAGAGCCCAGGGCGGCGGGTCACCGCCGGGCCGAGGCCGCGTATGCTAGGCAGGCGCCGGAAGTGGGCCCCGGACCTGCCCCCGCTAGTGGGCAGCAGCCCTCGGCCGCGGCGAGCGCCTTTGCGCATGCTCGCA